GGTGTATTCCTTTTTCATCTACTGAACGAATCACTTGGCTAATAGTAACGGGCTCCACTACTGACTTCACTTTTGAACGTACCCGTCTTTTCTCGAAAGAGATGGAACTAAACATGTACTCGTTCTAACGTCTTTCTTTGATCCTCGTAGAATTATTGAGACCAAACTAAATTATTACTATGGCGTAAAGTATTGATACCCATCTAATCGGTGCACGTGTTATAGAGGTAAAGTATGCAATATATTAATACTTAAATAAAACTTTCAAGTCAACAGTAGCATAAGATTCAGTCATAACATAAATTTTGGAAAGACAACTTTGTGTATACGATATGGTAAAATACAGTTGTCAACATTTTCGACAGATATGTATTAATTAATGTAATTGAATTAGAGTCAAGTGTATAAACTATAGTCCTATTTTCAATTTAAAGACGTTACTTTAGAGTAAATTTCCTACTCAATTGAATAATAATATTATTATTTAAATATCTATATCTTTATTCTAACTTACTACTAAGAGGGTGTTTGGTAGAGATTAAAATCGGATTAAAATTGAAAAACTAGCCGTTATTGCTGACTTTTATTAGATGAGTGGAATCCAATAACGACTATATTTTCAATTTTAATTGTATATTAAGCCGTACCAAACATGCCTTAAATATATTGAAATAAGAATGTAAAGAAAAAAGCAGCCCATTGGAGTGGGTGGCCCTAGCTTGGAACGGGCTGTGTAGAGCCTATCAAAATTTCCAGTTGGACAATCCAATTGACTTGAGATAACCCTTATTGAGTTGCAGAAAAATTGAGTCAGCTTGATTGACATCTCGACTTGTGCAAAAGTTCATCGTCTAGAAGTTTAAATTATTATAAGATAAATATTTTTATTTATTTAAATATTGAAATACCTTATTGAAAAGCCTAATTTGTAAAAATAGAACAAATGTATTCATTCAAAATTAACCTAAACACTATAAAGATCTCACACTCATATTAGGAGACCACTGGAAAAATGAATCAATCAAAGCACCTAAAATCACATGATCCTCAATATCTTCTAGAGGAACTTTAGCTCTACAAGTCATCAAAATTGGCAGATCATTTTAGAAAGCCAAAATCCAAATCTGCAGCCATAAATCTCATTGGGAAGATGCAATTGGTTGCTTAATTGCATAATGTGGAAGCTTTGACCATTTCCCAATTTTAAATGTTGAGACTTTTCTGTTTGATCCTGAGCCCCACACCCACCACTTTGTAAAAGTAGGGTGGCAAATGATTCAAACTGCAAGCCGACTTGGCTCGTGGCTCATCTTTTAACGAGCCTTGACTCGGACCAAACCCTATTGTTGAGCACTTTTCCAGTCAGGGCCAACCCGCCAGCTTGATGAGTCATTGGCGGGCCTGCCCATTAACTGCCATTATTGGCAGGCCTCTTTTCAGGCCTGCAATTGGCTGTAGGCCTTTTTCAGGTCCAGCCTATGGGATTTGTTCCATCATCTAAAAGAAGATACATTGGAGGTTTTAGTATGTTTAAAGGATTAGAAATGTGAAGACTTTTGTCCTACTATAATAAAAACGTTAGTTTTGGAATCACCGTCTATGCAATAGTAAAGCCATGAGATGTTACTGTTCATTTTTCCAATTTTCACTCCTCCGGTCCTCCAATTTTCATTACTATGTAAAAAAAAAATAGGCAATTTTCACTGCTTTGTTGTATATTTTGTTTTTCTATTTTGAAGAATTTGATTTTATATGTTGGAAATTGGTTCCAGGCACCTTATCTTAAAAAAAATCATACTATAATAAAAACGCCAGTTTTAGAATTATTGTAGATGCAACAATAAAGCAATGAGATGTTATTGTTCATTTTTAAGCTTTCACTTCTCCGATCCTCCAATTTTCGCTACTATG